TAGAAAATGATGTGTTGTTAAAAAAGAAAAAAAAAAAAAAATCTAAGAGGGATGTATTTAAAAAAAATAAAAATTTTAAAAAAAATTCGTGCCGGTGCACTGCTAGTAATATATTAATGTATAATAAATATGTTATCTTAGGCACATCTACACATTAAAATAAAGTAATGGGACACAGACAGACAACTCATTGGATAGTATAAAAAAATATCAATCTAAAAAATTAAAAAAATAAAAAAATAAAAAAATAAAGAGAAACTTATTGGTAAGCCTCATATACAAAATTTAAAATTTATTTAATCTCAAACAAAACATTTGCAACTTATATATTTTTAATTGTTACCAATTTTTATTTTTTTTTAAATTTATGGACGCTACTACATCCTACCACCATAGGATTTCTGTCAAACAGTCACTAGAGTGTCACCGGAATGTTCATCATCTCCGAGAAGTCACGAATATCGCCGGAAGTTTGCTAGAGTATTCTAAACATCACTAGAAGTAACCGAAATGTCCAGAATGGTCGTTAGACGTTAAAAATATCATCAGAGACTCACCGAGAAGTCCAAAATATTGCCAAAAAAAATAGAGAAATTATAGTGAAAAAATCTAGCAAAATGTGTTAAATATTGATGAACTAAAAAAAAAAAGTAACAACACCAAACAACAACAATGGAGAAAAAAATATGTTATTTTTCAATTTTTGTAGGATTTAAGCAAATAATTTCTAATATTGATCAAACTGAAATTGTAAAATATTACAGGTTCAAAACAAAAATCTATTAAGCATTTATTTTTATTAATCAAACTGAAAACATGTTAAGAAACTGTAAAATTTACAGTTTTAAAGCATGTTATTAAACTATAAAATTTTATATTTTTAAAGAATGTTATGAAGCTACAAAAGTTTACAGTTTTAAAGCATTATTAATTTTAGCATAAAAAAAAACTGAAATTATAAAATTTTACAATTTTTCACTGTCTGTAACTAAAATTTGAAAACAATTTGTTCAGAACTTAAAAATTTTCTTCATTAAAATAGGAAAAGAGAAGTGTGTAGTAGAGAAAATATAAATAAAAAAAGAAAAGAAAAGTGAGAGATCGAAGAAAAGCGACAAGATATAAAGAGATGATTGTACCTCGGCAACTAGTTTGGTTTCAAAACAAAAATCTATTAAACATTTATTTTTATTAATCAAACTGAAAACATGTTAAGAAACTGTAAAATTTACAGTTTTAAAGCATGTTATTAAACTGTAAAATTTTATATTTTTAAAGAATGTTATGAAACTACAAAAGTTTACAGTTTTAAAGCATTATTAATTTTAGCATAAAAAAAAAACTGAAATTATAAAATTTTACAATTTTTCACTGTCTGTAACTAAAATTTGAAAACAATTTGTTCAGAACTTAAAAATTTTCTTCATTAAAATAGGAAAAGAGAAGTGTGTAGTAGAGAAAATATAAATAAAAAAAGAAAAGAAAAGTGAGAGATCGAAGAAGAGCGACAAGATATAAAGAGATGATTGTACCTCGGCAACTAGTTTGGTTTAGATCAAATCGGATCTGATATAGATCTCCTCAGAGATCTGAGCAGATCTACATCATATTTGAATAGATATATTTATCTTCTTTGCCGTCAGTGAGGGTAAAACAAAGAGTTGATGGTCTGTGGTTGCCAGTGAACCCTACTTGATGATAGTTGTCGGTTACCAATGACTATATTAGAGATAGAAAGAAAAAAAAAATAAGACGTGATCGCCAGTCGTTGAAAATCAAAAAAAGATAAAGATAAAGAAAAATGAAGACAAAGAAAAAGAACAACGTTGCAACACTCTTGGGTATAAGTAAGAGATTGTGGACTAAATAGGTCATACTTTTATTAATAATTTGCCTTTTTTTTTTTTGTTGAACGAGAAAAATTAATGTCCTCTGTAATCAATCAATGCAGCCCGTGTTTGGCCTAAGGCAGCCGTGGTTGCGTTGCCAACTTTAATGTAATGTGCTGTCTATCCATATTCATGTGTCTCCCAATCTTCAAAGGGGGCTTCTATTTACATTTTAAAAATTAGGTTGGACATTTTAATTTAATTATATTTTTTTATTCCTATTAAGTTTTTATTTAAAATGATTAAAAAAGATTTGACAATAAAAAAAAATGTAAATAAAAATATTTTGGACACTCCATTAATCATCATTCTTAATATTCTTTTTCTCTTTTCTCTTCCTACTTTTATCACTTTACATCTTCATACACAACCTAATGTAATGTGCTGTCTATCCATATTCATGGTCTCCCAATCTTCAAAGGGGGCTTCTATTTACATTTCAAAAATTAGGTTGGACATTTTAATTTAATTATATTTTTTTATTCCTATTAAGTTTTTATTTAAAATGATTAAAAAAGATTTGAAATTAAAAAAAGTGTAAATAGAAATATTTTAGACTCCTCACTAATCATCAGCCTGAATATTTCCTTTTTTTTTTCTCTTCTTACTTTTATCACTTTGCATCTTTATATTCAACCACAACCCAGCCATATTTGCTTTAATTCATCTTTCTTACCTTCTATTTTATATTGAAATCAATAAGAAATAATAAAGAAAATGTTTCCAAATAATTTTCCGTAGAAAGTAATTTTTAATTGTTATTTATCGTTTCGTAGTTTAGTTTTCCAAATTCATTTAGAATTGAGTATCCGAACAAACTTTATATGTTTAGAATTAAATATCTGAAAAAATATATTTTGTTCGGCACTGAATATCTATATAAAACAACTATAACCAATTTTGTTGTGTTCGGTATTGAGTATCCGAACAAATTTCATATGTTTGAAATTAAGTATCATGACAAATATATTTTGTTCGGTATTGAGTATTCATATAAAACAATTGAGACCGATTTTCTTGTGTTTGGCACTAAGTATCTGAACAAATTTTATATGTTTGGAATTAAGTATCTAGACAAATATATTTTGTTCAACACAAGTATCTATATGAAATAATTGGAACCAATTTTTTTTGTGTTCGGCACTAAGTATCAGAAAACCGATAACCGAGTAGATGTAGAGTGAGACGAGACCTTCGTCGCTTGAAATTCTCTTCTGAATTTGTCCCTCTGTTTGTGGGTAGTGAGATGTACAAAATAGATTTATATACGGTTTTAGGGGTTTTAGGGTAAAATATGTATTATTGAGAGTATCCAAACAAATATATAAAATTTCAAATTTATTATTAAAATGCTTAAAGTATTGGAGTATCCAACCTAATTCTTGAGATGTATTCAGAGCCTCCTTCAAAAGTTGAATCGATTTTTTTCATACCGGAACTGTCCTGAAATAGTAGTTTATTTAATTACAGTGTGCATAACTGATATTTATAACTTTTGGGTGAATAAGATATTTATAATTAACTAAAGGGTAAAAACGAAAAATAACAATTTCACTTGACAAACTCTGTTTGTTTAGGTGAAAAATATTTTTTGATATTTGATTCAATTGAAAATGAAAATCAATAGAAAATATTTTTTATAATCAATAGAAAATAAGGGGTTATTTGGGATGATCTAAATAAGTGCACTTTTTAATTTTTTACGAAAAAACGTGAAATATGGGTTGAATTTGAAGTGATGTGGTAGAGAAATGAAGTGATTTAACTGAGATGATGTGACTTAAATAGGATAGTAACTTTTTGACTTTTTAACTTTTTTGTATTATGCCAAACTAGGCCAAAGCCTACATGGGCATAAAATATTTTCTACTTTTAAAATGTGAAAAATATTTTTTAAATTAAAATTATATCAGTATCACTACACTATTACAGCCACTTTTGCCCCCACCACCACACCACCATTACCACAGCCAATGTCACCATTACTATCACCACCGCCCAACCACCATGCCATCACAGAAAAATATTTCATCTGGAAAATAAATTTTTTTTTAAAAAAACAATTGTAGAAAATATTTTCTATTTGCATTATCTTTTCATGTTTTCCATTTACATGAAAATGTTTATGTAAATTATTATTATTTTTATTTGAATTCATAAACATAATTTTCACAACCAACTTTTTATTTCTTCAAAACTCACCCACAGTTACAAATTCTTCATCTAAACTGTTTTGCTTTACGACCGAAAACGTTTCTCATCATTCCTTATGCAAGAGCTTTGTTGGGCCATTGAATTATATATATATATACACATATATTAATGGTTAGAGCAAACGATATGTATGATTTAAATAAATAAAAAAATAAAATATTTATTATATATTGTGAGTCACTTAAGTGATAATAATTTTTTTCTTCATTTATTAATTTTTTTTATTTTAAATACAAAAATAAACACTTGAAAATATAAGGAGAGAAGACTTGAAAGGTGTAAATAAATACACACTATATATATATGTATATTCGTAAATAACAAATGAAAACATTATATGTAGATTCCATTATAAAAGATGTAGAAATTAAAAAAAAAAATTAATATTTTAATTATATAAGTAAACATTGTTTCCAATCTAGAAAATACTAAAATTTAACAATGGTCAAAAAAAATTAAAAAAAAATTATGCAAATAGTCCATTAAGTTTACACGATGTGTCAATTTAGTCCTTATAATTTTAATTTGCTTGATTTTATCTTTTAATTTAACAAATTGTATCATTTTAATCCAATAAATAATAATTATTAAGTTAATTTAACGTAAAGTCAAACAATGTGTCAATTTAGCCTCTGTATTCAATTTAGTCCTTGTCAAAATTGAGAAAATTAAAACTACAGAACTAAATTGACACATTCTGTTAAATTAACTTAACAACTACTATTTATTATTTAACAACTACTATTTATTGGACTAAAATGACACAATCTATTAAATTAAAGAATAAAATTAAACAAATTAAAATTACAGAAATTAAATTGACACATCAAGTAAAATATAGGAATTATTTACATAATTTACTCAAAAATTTAACTAGTGAAGGAAAGTTAGGTTTGGCAATAACAAAGCTTTTATTATCAATAGCCCTGGAGAAGCACAAACAGAGTTTAATTACGGAATGTAAGTGATAGATATGTGGTAGAATAGCTCATTAAATTATTAATACACATTATTATTAAGAAAATGAAAATGAGTGGCAACACTAACACAGATCAGACAACCAAACCCAAACCCAAACCCAAACACTACTTTCAAGTCTATTAAATAGCACATCACATATAATAACTAGTAATTAAATTAAACAGTTGTCACACAATAGACAGAGGCCCGCGATGACGATGAGCGTCGATGACGTGAAGGCGATCAGCATCCCTAGGAGCGTTCTTATCAGCATCGCAGTTATCCATGATGGCGGTGAGCTGATAGGGGGAAGTGTCGGTGGCGAGCCATTGCTCAACCGTGAAGAGCTGCTGAGCGCAGGCGGTGTGGACCCCAGTTGTGGTCAGCTCCACATAGTTACAGTACCACCCGTGGTGTGGGCCGGACCCGTCCGAAGTCAGGTTCATGGCGCACACCGGCCCAGTCAAACACGGGCCTCTCCCGCTGAATATGTCCAGATTTCCTCTCTCGAAGTAGTTGTAGCCCGGGCCCATCAGCCCGCCCCAAGACTCTAGATCTGAAATCCGAATACCCCACCCCTTTGCATCGTACAGGGTCAGGCTGATGATCGAGTCCGTCCCTCCTTTTACGATTGAACCCGTTCTTACGTACACCGTATACACACAATCATCCTGCATTCATATATATATATACGATAATTTTGTTTTAAAAAATATATATATATAAATGTATCACAGAATTGAAATGGAAAATGAGAGATTAGCTTACGGATCGGGCGATGGTGGTGGCTGCGAAAACGATGAAGAAATGAAACCAGAGACGGTTGAGTGCTCCCATGGCGTTTGGCTCTGTATCTTTATATTTTTGTTTTTGGGTGCTTCAATATATATATATATATATATATCTGAGATCTATATGATGGGAGGGGAGGGTTTATTGTGGGAGGAGGATGGGAATGAAGATTTTGCTGGTGTGTGTGTGTCTTTATAAAGACACCGATTTGATAGGTAATGATAAGGGGCGCGTGATATCATATAAATCTTTCTTATTTGTCACTTTTAAGTTTTTGAATCTACTCTTTATTTTTATATATTTTTTATAAAAAAAAAATTAAAAAAATTAATTTTTAATTTATTGTCCAAAACAAATGTGTTTGGCAAGTTGGGTTGGGGCTAAAATAGTCACAAAAGACAAAACAGGCTATTTTAGCCACAACAAACAAAACATCACATCCAACCCATAATCATTACACTCTTCTCTCACAAAAAAAATCAAAAAAGTCAAAAAGTCAAAAAGCCCTTCCCAAACCAAACTTTTTAGCCCAGGCTAAAATAGCCAAAAAAGCCAAAAAGCCAAAAAGCCAACCCACTTCCCAAACGGAGGCAAAATGAATTATATACCATTGAATATGAAAATTAGAGCATTTTCATCGGCTCTTTTATATTATTTTTTAGCCAAAACAAGGAATTCTTTTGTCAAAAAAACATCCCCAACAATTCCTGAATCTAACTTGCCAAAGGAAAATATTTGACTCTTGTAAATTTTTCATAATTCAACTTATAATGACATAATTTGACAAGTGTTAATTTTTATTAATTAAACAGTAATGATATATGACTCATCACCCTTATCACATCAGTATGGATGTCTTTACGGGTCTAAAATGTGGGTCTCTAGCATTGATGCCTCCAAATATAAAAGTTGCTATAGTCACATTGTTGCAAATTTTTTGTAATAATTATTTTATTATTAAACAAAATTCACAATTCAAATTTAAAAATAATTGAAAATAATATTTTAATAGAATAAAGAAAAAATAGAGAGTTTGTTGTGGATAAGTAAATAAAAAAAGTGACTCAATAAAATAAGGAATCAATTTTAAAATTAAAAAACCATTATAATAATTAGGATAAATCTCAACCATTACAAAAACTAATTCACTTCCCAAATGGAGGCTTATACACAAGAATTCTAGTCCCATTACATTTTTAGATTTTAAAATCTCAACCATTATAATAATTAGGATAAATTACAAATACACTATTTAAAATTTGTTTAAAAAATAAATTATCTCATGTAATTTTAAAAATTATAAATATTCTATTGTCCAAATTTTTTATTTAACAAAATTAATAAAATCAAATAAAATTTCTAATTACTTTCCTACACAATAATAAATTACTCAATTATTAATTAAAATATATTTTTGATATTATTAAAAATTATTAATTAACTTAATAATTTATTAATAATATAATTTATTAATATGCGATTTAAAATTTAAAGAGATAAAATTTAATTTTTAAAATTATAAAAAACTAATTTATATTTTACATAAATTTTAATTAGATTTGTTTTCATTCTCTTTTTTTGGCTTTTTGAACATTGTTGTATAGTAATGGGGGACAAAATGTTCCCAGCACAGCAAGCACGTGGGTGGTGTCATGTCCCATCTGCACGGATCCTGCCCTCCATCTCTGTGTACTTTTATTTTTGGGTAGGAAATATCGTAGTTCACACCAGGTGCTTCGAGTCTTGGAGTGAGGATCCTCTCCTTTCAGCTTTCGTGCTTGCGCTCGTCTTTGCAGATTTTCGGGTTTACTTTTAGGCTCAATTTTGATAATTCGAACCGTTCATATTTTATGATTTATTCAGTATATCATACCTGTAAAAAATCAAGTTGATCGGATATCAGAAAGCATATGTTCGGAAAACTGTTTATTAAATTCTTTAAAAAATAGTGTTTAGTTCAATTTTTCAAACACATACTTTCTGATATCCGATCAACTTGATTTTTTACAGGTATGATATACTGAATAAATTATAAAATATAAACGGTTCGAATTATCAAAATTAGACCTAAAAGTAGACCCGAAAGCCTACAAAAATGGACGCAAGCACAAACTTGCAAGGAGAGAGGCTCTTCACTCCGAGTCTTGAGGGATGCTAGATCCACACTTACGCCTTTTTTTTGTTTTTTTTTTTCCTCTTTTTTTTTTTTTTTGGCCTCTCTCTCTCTCATCATAGTGTAGTCTAGTTCGTGATAGATGAATAGTAAAAATAATCAACAATGGTTTATACCATTAAAAAAAATTATTAATATCATTAATATATTGAGAATGTTAAAAAAATAAAGTAAAATAAAAAATAAGAGCGCCCACTATTACACCATTAGTGATGCTATTAGAACACTACTTTTAGTGCTCTCAATCATTTTTCAAAAACAATTTATGTTTGTTTTGGTTTTAAAGTTTCGGATTTATAGTCCCTTTAGATTACGATAGGTCTTAGGGAGAAGTATTAATAGTATGGGTTGTGAGAGGGTATTAGCAAAATAGTCTGTTCGGATTGAGTGTTATTGGATGTCCACCCAGAAATCTGCCCAATCAACTGATCAAGTACAATTTTTTATTTTTTTACTTGTCGGACATTTTTTTTAAACATTAATGTTTAATGTTTTTATATTTTTTGTTAAGTAAATATCATAGCTTTATTATTTTATATAAAAATAATTTAACAATCTCTATACTAACAATTATCATCAAAACAAACACAATTTTATTAATACCCTTACTATCATTCTCTTCCATTCTATCTCTGAAAACAAACGGGACCTTAACTCTGTCCCTCTCTCGTGCAATTATCATAATTAAAAACGCAAACGTAGAGGTTTTAATTGTTAGAAAAAATAATTTTATGATAATTTAATGTGAAATTAAAATGGATCTCAATACTATATGCACCAATTAGTGTATCAATTGATGATGTAGCATAATTAAAAATATTTTTGATATTTGTAATTTATACAATGAGTAGAGTCAATAATAATGTCATAACTAGGGTTGGTACACTAGTTATTATACTAATTGGTACATGTAGTACTACTTCAAAAAAAAAAGAAAAAAAATCATTGAGAATTAAATGAGAAATTATCTCATAAAATTGGCCTTGTGAATGAGGTATTGGGAATGGAGTGTAACCACCTATTCCCCATTGATTGTAGATGAAAGTATTGATAGGTATTCAAATCCAAAGTTTTTGATAAGGGCATGAGTGCTTTAGGGCATTCAAAATTTCAAAAGAAATGAGTTATGGATCCTTCAAGGGTGGCTTAGGTTAAAACTATGGTTAAAGTTGGTTATGCAAAAAATACCACACGCGCGTCGCCCTTTCGACCAAGCGAGGTCCGGGCTTGTAGATCTTGGACTTGAGGCTTAAGGTTTGCTGAAATGGATTAGGTTTGGGCTTAACCAAATTGGTGGCTAATGTTTTTTGGACTAGGTCAGTTAGGTGGATGCAGATATACATGCATATGTGTATATATCAGTTTTGCTACATTTGTGTCTTCAGTTATATGTGTGCACCATCAATTTTGCTGCATTTGTGTCTTCAATTTCGCACAATTGAATTCTACATTTATTACTAGAAGGCTCCTCCCCTCTTCCCTTTGTGTATAAAAAGAGACCTTCCTTTTTGTTTTTTTCACTCAGAATGTTTTGCATATTTTTGTGCTTCAATTTGTAATCTCCTACATAAAGTAGTTCTATGATTTCATGTATGAATCTGCATATTTAATTTGATTATACATTTTATACAACAATCTTAAAATAGATTATATGTTTCTCATATGATTAACAAATAGATTCTTATGTAATTTGTAATACTTTATTTTCCTTAGGAGATTACACTGGTTTGCTTCCTTGTCTTATTTCAGTATTTTATTTTGTTATATATTTCTGTTTATTAAGTCGTAATCTTTAGTATGATTTAATTTCATAATTTCTTATTCTATAATTTAAAATTAATTAAATATGAATATGTTTATTTTTATTTAAATACACATTTTGGACAACATTAATAAGAAAAATAAAAATGAAAATGCAAGTCCATTTTCTAAACTTATATTATATCAAGCCTAAACTCATATCATGCTCTATATTTTGGATAGTTAATCATCATTAACTCGAAATGACTCAAACCTAATTTTTTTTTTTAGCATAAACTTTCTAAATAAATGTTTATATAAACAACTTAAATAATCACCCGACCACCGTGTTAAATGATCTAAAAATATAAGATTAATAATATATTGGAAAATGATTTATTTCTATGAAAACCTCCTTTAAAAATACCTCTTTATACTTTGATAGACTGTAGTATAAGTGAATAGATTTTTATCGGTCAAAGTTTATGAAAAGATATATTTTTATAAGAGATTTTTGTGAAAATGTAACACTACATTATAAGAGCTCCAAAACACCTCTTCATACTTTGATCGACTGCAGTATAAGTGAATAGATTTTTATCAATCAAAGATTATGAAAAGATATTGGAGGAGTTATGGGCCAGTCCCATAGACTGGTCTTATTACCCAGTAGGTTCTACCCAAAAATATCATACAATGTTTTTCATTTTTATCCCCAGACTCAGCACTGCAAATTTATCACTGGTTTAAACAAATCTATTACTGATTTATCACTGGTTTAAACAAATTTATCATTGATTATCACTAATTTAAACAAATTTATCACTGGTTTAAACAAATTTATCACTGAATTTATCACTGGTTTAAACAGATTTATCACTCGGATCTTCCCCAATATACACACAGAGAGAGAGAGAGAGAGAAGACTCTGCGACAAAGAGCCTAGATCCTAGATCTAGAGGTAGAGGCGACGATGACTGTGGAGGTAGAGGCGGTAATGGTCGGCAACGACGGTGGATGTGGAGGCAAAGACGTCAGTGGCGGTGGAGGTAAAGACGTCGGTGGAGGTGGAAACAATGATTAAAGTGAAAGAAGATGTCGATTGAGGTCGTTGGCAATGACGACAGTGGAGGCAACGATGGTCTTTAAAAAGTCTTGATCTCACTGGAAACCATGTACAGTACCAGATTGGAGCTAAAGATAGTAGATCTGCATTGAAATAACCTAGATCTGAAGCCATCGACGAAGTTCGTCATCAAAGACAATAGATTGGTAATGAAGGATTGTGGCAACAATGGTGATATCGATGACAATCAACGAGGGAGGATAACAGTGGTGTGAGGTGAGTGATGATGGCAGCAAGAGAGGAGGACAAGGACGGTAGTTGATACGAGCACCATTGATGACAACAGAGAATAACTTAATGGTGTTGGTAGGTGTAGTGAGGGTAATATGGGCAGTTAAGGACTTAATGGTGTATTTAAAAGGTCAACATGACTTATGAGTAATTAATTTCATTTAATGGGACTGGCTAGTAAATATCCCAAATATATTTTTATAAGAGATTTTTGTGATGATGTAACACTACATTATAAGAGCTCCAAAATAAAGAAGGAACAACTGAGATACCATCAATAACAAGTCCCTTCTTGTTCCATACGATAGGAGATATAACATTTTTTCTATTTCTTGTTCTCAACACTCTCCATTCAATGATTTGCCAAATCCCAATTAAAATATAGTTATTTCAACACATCGTAGCCTATAATAAAAAGAGAATTTTTATTTTTATTTTTATTTTTTTAAAATTGGGTATCCAGTCCAATTTATGCACCTCAACTAATTCCAGAATCAATCCCACCATTCACTTACAAGGCCCTAATTAAAGTAGTACAAGACATGCCCCAAGAAGTTTACTTACGAGGGGCCATTTAAAATAGGACAAGACATGGCTCCAAGGAGTTTATCAATCCCACCATTCACTTACGTAGCGCCTGGAGGGGGCTCCATTTAAAGTAGATCAAGACAAAGTCCCAAGAAATTTATTGATACTAATGAGTATTGAACTTGAAACCTAAATGAAGTATATCTTTAAATTCTAAGTTTTGTCCACTAAACCAACCGCTTAATTAAAAATAAAAAAAATAAAAAAATTGGAGACAAATGATCCCATTCAAAAATACCTATTCCTATGATTGTTGAATCAAAATTCTCTCATTGACTCCTTACTTGTTGAGTCATTGGGCCCACTTTTGGGCCCAATTTCGATAATCTGAACCGTTCACATTTTAAGATTTGTTAAGTATATCATACATGTAAAAAATCAAATTGATCAGATATCAGAAACTACGTGTTCGGATCATAGAACTAAAAACTATTTTTTAAAAAAAATTTAATTAACAATTTTTTGAATACATACTTTTTGATATTTGATCAACTTGAATTTTTACAGGTATGATATATTTAAAAAATTTTAAAATATGAACAGTTTAAATTATTGAAATTAGACTCAAAAGTGAGCTTATTAACCCAACAAACAAAGAATCAAAGAGAGAGATTAAGGAGAGTATCTTGATTCATGATTGTTCCCTCGCTTTGGAATTGGAAATAGCACACTAGTAGATGTAGCTAATGAATTATGTTGTAATGATGGAGACAAATGATCCCATTCGGAGATAGATCCGACACTTCTCTACAAAGACAACTACCAAACACAGCCTATGAATTGGAATTTTGTCTCAAAGTGTAGCAATCAAACGAGAAAAATAGTACCGACACTACTCTACGCAGACTATGAATGACTTATTTGCTTCAGATGAAAAATGTAAGGAAAATGTTTGAGATGTCTTTTTGGGAGGCTCCACCACTTCTACAGTTATATAGATTAATGATGTGTTTGTATTTTTTTTTATTTTTTTTTTTTACTTGGACCAATCATAAATGAGTGGGGGTGATGAGGGTGATATTTTGTGAGAATTTGAATCATTACTGAAAATGAAATCACTCACAAAATACTTCTTAAACTTGGCTTTTGATTGCAATCAGTTAATTTCCTTGTTGCATGTTTGAAATCTTTGGTTATATATTTTCTATTGCTTTTAAAAAGGGAGAAAAACAAATACAAAGATTTATCTAGTCAAGAACTAATATTAAGTGATCCTTCTTAATTTCATCCCAAGACTCTCGAAAAAAAAAACCCTATATATATTTACAAGTTTTGAGGACTCGATTAAAAGTCATAGAAACTATGCCTTTGTGGTATACATTCTTCAAATTCAAATCTGGTGGCACAAGAGAAACCCTTTCTAAACTTTTTGCTTGGACTCCTTTTCTCTACCTCGACAGCAAAGACAGCACACACCGGTCTATGATCCGAGAATCTGGATTCCCCACGAATATATGACAATTGTTCAATGCCGCTACCATGCCATAATATCCTATCACACCTGAAATTTAACATCAAATTACACCGATCAAGACTTCCAATTTTAAGTAATTAATCACGTTTAATACTCAACCCCTATAAAAAAATGTGGATAAAAAATAAACAAGAAGACCACCAAAATATCACCACCAGTTGACATATATAGGGTGTGTTTGGTAACGTTTACGTTTTCAGTTTATATTTACAAAAATTTTATAAACTGATTTTTGTTTATTTTTAAAAAAACATAAACATTTGGACCAATCACAAATGAGTGCGGGTGATGGGGATGATATTTTGTGAGAATTTGAATCATTACTGAAAATGAAATCACTCACAAAATACTTCTTAAACTTGGCTTTTGATTGCAATCAGTTAATTTCCTTGTTGCATGTTTGAAATCTTTGGTTATATATTTTCTATTGCTTTTAAAAAGGGAGAAAAACAAATACAAAGATTTATCTAGTCAAGAACTAATATTAAGTGATCCTTCTTAATTTCATCCCAAGACTCTCGAAAAAAAAAACCCTATATATATTTACAAGTTTTGAGGACTCGATTAAAAGTCATAGAAACTATGCCTTTGTGGTATACATTCTTCAAATTCGAATCTGGTGGCACAAGAGAAACCCTTTCTAAACTTTTTGCTTAGACTCCTTTTCTCTACCTCGATAGCAAAGACTGCACAAACCGGTCTATGATCCGAGAATCTAGATTCCCCACGAATATATGACAATTGTTCAATGCCGCTACCATGCCATAATATCCTATCACACCTGAAATTTAACATCCAATTAAACCGATCAAGACTTCCAATTTTAAGTAATTAATCACGTTTAATACTCAACCCCTATAAAAAAAATGTGGATAAAAAATAAACAAGAAGACCACCAAAATATCACCACCAGTTGACATATATAATATTTTGTTATTCAAAAAATGCAATTCAGTCTTTCTAGTACCCTCTTGTGTGTGTTTTATGAGAGAGAGGGATAGGAAGAGAGAGAGAGACCATGCTGGGGTTCGCCTTTTTTTCTTGGATTTGACAGTCTCGCCAGCATAGGAATCTGAGTTGTGTGAGTACTTGTAAGTTGGGGCAAAGAAGATCCTTCCCTCATTCCACCTATTAAACACTCTTCCTGCTTCTCTTTCCATATTCAACTGCGCTCAACAATTAAGAAAGGGTCAATTAAACAATTTCAAGCATTACGCTTTAAAATTATTCGACAAAATTGATTAATCAAGATAAACAAACTAAAACAAAAATTTCCAAGTTTGTGTGTAAAAATCTCCATCTCCATCAATATTAAGCAAATGTAAAATCCATACTTTGTGATCTACCAAGCAGAGTACTTTGGGCTAAAGAAAAAATTTGTTACTAGAAAAAAAAAAATGTGAATCCAACTATAAAGAGTACTACAACAATACATCAAACAACACAAAAAGTTTAGGCAAAAAGCATCATTACTCATAAAGCATATCTCAACTGGGTTGGCGTATGTTTCAAATAAATCAAAAGCTCGAAAACAAACGGATGCCTCCTTTGATTGATCTTACATTGCATTCATAAGGCATCGCCATGAAATTGTTTCAATTAAAATTGCAGCATCCCAGCGAGAAAGATCAAAATATGAGATTCCCAATTAAAGGGCCATTACTTTATCAAATGAACAACTAAAGAACACATAATTCTGTGTTTGGCAAGGGCTTTTTCAGATTTTTTTGGCTATTTTAGCCACAAAAAATAAAATAGGCTATTTTAGCCATAACAAACAAAACATCACATCCAACCTATAATCATTACATTATTCTCTCACAAAAAAATTTAAAAAAGCCAAAAAGCCCTTCCCAAACCAAACTTTTTAGTCCAGGGTAAAATAGTCAAAAAAACCAAAAAGCCAAAAAGTCAACTCACTTCCCAAACGGAGGCTTAAATGGTTTATGACCCAAATGTAGTGGTGACTGACTTTGTAAGTAGCTAGTTTTTACCATTAAAATATACAACGCTAAGATCAAAATTATATAAATCCATTGACTAAGAGATAGGTGCATTGGTATATTGAAAGTTCAACTCCTTCAAAGTATTAATCATCTAACAAAAGATTTTTGTCGATCAAAAAAATGAGGTGAAGCATATAAAAAGCATGATTAAAGAAGAGCATCGAGCTATCCACAAAGCAAATGCTAGATAGCATGCAATCCAACAGAGAGAAAACAAAAGAGAAACTAAGTTGGACCCTATTTTTACAAATTGATTTTGTAACATAAACAACAAACCTGATCTCTCTCTAGGAGGGACTGCCAATCATTATCCTCCAACAAAAGCCTTGTTTCCTCGTAGCTCAAAGATACCCGATAATTTAAGTCGCCAAACCAAATTGCTCGACTGCAATCATTGTTAGACACAAGAAAGATGGTAATATATAATTACTAATTAGAAACCCAATAAAAAGGAAGTAAAGACAATAATATATAATCAAGCAATACTTTTCTTACCATTTGTTTTTATAATGTGGCAAATTCTCAACCATGGATTATTCATACTATTAAAATTTAAATTTGGCAAAACTTAAATTTGGTCTCTAGAAACTTCTGCACATAAAATTTAGGGGTTATTTGAGATGTCCTAAATAAGTGTACTTTTTATTTATTTAGACTAAAAAATTAAGGAAAAAAAATATAAATGTTTGGGTTAACTTTTTGACTTTTTATGCAAAAATGTGTATTAAAAAATTGTATAAATTAGTGTATAGGGAAAAATTAAGATTGAGAGTTGTGCAGCTGTAATTATTGACTTTTGGTGAATAGAGTTAATTTTTTAATTTTTTGAATAATTTTTTGACTTTTTATGAACTTGTCAAACTTGACCTTAGTTGATTTAATAAGTGTTTTGAGAAGTTGGTAAAAAGTTGACTTTTGACTTTTTATCAAGTTTTTTGACTTTTTTGGAGGTGAATTGAGAAGTTGGTAAAAAATTAACATTTTTACTTTTTGGTTTAATATTTATTTATAGCATCAAATCAAAATAAAATGACCAATATACCCTTGCCAAACTTTAAAATTTTAGGTTATTTAGGCCAAGTTTGGCATCCCCAAAAAATTTAAAAAGTCAAAAAGCCACTATCCTATTTAAGTCACAACATTTTATTTAAGTCACATCATCTCTCTAACACATCACTTCAAACCCAACCCAACCCAAATCCAACCCATATTTCATAAAAAGTCAAAAAGTGCACTTATTTAGTCTTCCCAAACTTGACCTTATTAACATGGAGGGTATTTAGGTAATTTCACAAGACAACTTTTTTTGTGACCTCCTAAATACAAGTTCTGGCGTTTTTAGCATCTTAGCGTTTTTCTTCCGTGAACAAAAACGTGACGTTTTTCATCTCCTCAAAATGGCACAAATAAATGCATTCACATCCCTCACACACCCGCGTTCCATCCTACATTTCAACCTACCCAACTCTAAACTTCCACAAACATCTTTTCATCTCTGACTCTTCCCACTCAAAACTTCCACAAACACCTTTTCGTCTTTGACAAATTCAAGAATAATTTGGTTTGAATTTTTTGAATTAAATTTTTTAAAAGTTAAATTTTTTAATTTTTATGTTTTTCTTTTTGTTCTGCACATAAAATTTAGGGGTTATTTGGGATGTCCTAAATAAGTGTACTTTTTATTTATTTAGACAAAAAAATTAAGGAAAAAAAATATAAATGTTTGGGTTAACTTTTTGACTTTTTATGCAAAAATGTGTATTAAAAAATTATATAAATTAGTGTATAGGGAAAAATTAAGATTGAGAGTTGTGCAGCTGTAATTGTTGACTTTTGGTGAATAGAGTTAATTTTATAATTTTTTGAATAATTTTTTGACTTTTTGACTTTTTATGAACTTGTCAAACTTGACCTTAGTTGATTTAATAGGTGTTTTGAAAAGTTGGTAAAAAACTGACTTTTGATTTTTTATCAAGTTTTTTGGTTTTTTTGGAGGTGAATTGAGAAGTTGGTAAAAAATTAACTTTTTTACTTTTTGGTTTAATATTTATTTATAGCATCAAATCAAAATAAAATGACCAATATATCCTTGCCAAACTTTGAAATTTTAAGTTATTTATTAACATGGAGGGTATTTAGGTAATTTCACAAGACAACTTTTTGTGACCTCCTAAATACAAGTTCTGGCGTTTTTAGCAACTTAGCGTTTTTCGTCCATGAACAAAAACGTGACGTTTTTCATCTCTTCTCAAAATGGCACAAATAAATACATTCACATCCCTCACACACCTGCGTTCCATCCTACATTTCAACCTACCCAACTCTAAACTTCCACAAACATCTTTTCATCTCTGACTCTGCCCACTCAAAACTTCCACAAACACCTTTTCGTCTTTGACAAATTCAAGAATAATTTGGTTTGAATTTTTTGAATTAAATTTTTTAAAAGTTAAATTTTTTAATTTTTATGTTTTTCTTTTTGTTTTTAATAAATATTTTTAAATTTTTTATTTTTTATTTATTTTTTTAGATGTACTTTATTTATATGTATTTAAAAAGTAAAAAATTTATAAAAAAATATTTTAAAAAATTAATAAATACAAGAAAAAAAATATTGAATTCTCGTATTTTTTTAAATATTTTTAGTATTTAGTAAATTTTTAATAGGTATTTTTCATAATTTTTTTATTTTTTAGGTATATTTATGTAAAGTATGTCTAAAAATTTAAAAAAAACTTACTTAAAATATTAAAAAAATTCAATAAAAATAAAAAAATACAAAAAATAAAAAAATAAAATTTTCTGAAAAGTGTTTTTAAAAAACTCTAACCAAGCAAATAAAAAAACATAGGGCAGGCCACTGACAAATAGATAAGATGAATGAAAGAAAAAGAGAGATTTAAAACTACGGTGTGTTTGGTTTTACTCTTTTAAAAATTGAATTTTTTATTTTTCGTGTTTATTTTATTTTTAGTGAATATTTTTTAAATTTTAAGTAATTTTTAAATTTTTTTAGATGTACCTTACTTAGATGTATCTAAATATTAAATTATTTGTAAAAAAATATTTTAAAAAATTAATCAATACACAAAAATACAAAAAAAAATATACTGAATTTTTGTATTTTTTTGTATTTTTGACATTTAGTGAATTTTTTAAAGATTTTTTTCACAAATGTTATACTTTCTAAGTGCCTTTATGTTATGTGTGTCTAAAAATTAAAATAATTTCTTAAAATATTAAAAAAATTCAGTGAAAATAAAAAATATATATGAAAAACGAACAAGTTGAATTTTCTAAAAGTGAATTTTGAAAATTGAAAACAAAGAGTGTTGTTTTTCACAAATAAAAAAACAGAGGGCAGGGTACAGTTTGCAGTAGATAAAGTGTCATATAAGATTGTAAATGAAAATTATAGTAAGCATAGCCTATCCTTTATGTAATTTTTGTGATTTGGATATATGGAAATCTGAATGAAGGTGGTGATCGAAGTGCTTACTCATGATCGATAATTCTTTCTGGGATTTTCCGATTTGGATTTTTGCAGATCTTTTGGAATTGTGTGCTTTTTAGGATCTCAGCTACATCTGCATTCCTCTTTAGCTCATCTCCCTCCTTCTCCCCAGAAGCCAAATGACTGCAAACAAAGCAAAAGCTTGTTTGGTGCAATGACAGGCTTATTGATATACACCCCTGGAACACAACAATATAAAACCAACTCATTTGAATTCTCTCAATTATATACACCAACTCATTTGAGTTCTTTCCACTCATTAAAAACTGTTTATTGACTTGATAATTTATTAATAAAATGGACCATTTATTATGAAATTAAAAACTTCAAATTGGCATAATGTAATTTTAAAAGGCAATTTATATTTTAAACAAATCTCAATTATAATTTACTCTTTTTTCTATAAAAATAAATAAATGTGTGCCATCTATCCCCTTAAATTTCAATGTTGAATAATTGAGTATTGACTTCACATTCATAGAGGGTGAAACCAAGGGGGGATGCATGCACCTAGTAGTAAGTAACATTCAATTGAACAAACCTTGTTGCCAAGACAACCCATGATTCCTCTTCCAATATTGGAGACTCTGAGATGGCCAATGTGATGCACCAGTTCTTTCCGAGACCAAATTGAGAGAAAGATTCCCACCATTTGCTTGCATGCTATAAGCCGGTAACTCATGGCGGTCGTGTCTAGCGAGGTAGTAGCTAATTCTGCAATGGAGAGGAATTCATCGACACTTGAATCACGCTGGACTAGAGAAGAAGCACTGGGATCACTAAGCTTTCTCGGCCTCCGCCTGTTTGAGACCTGTGTGTTCAAATGGCAGTTGCAGGCCTTGAGAAGCCCGTTATCTGCCCTCAGATTCCGACTAAGTACTTTGAGAGAAGGCTTCCGGAAGAAGTTGGACTTTGATTCCTTTGAATTGTTAGAGTGCTTTGATGTACCACTGCCTGAAGCACTAGAGTTAATAGAGTCATTATGACTTGGTTTGTTAAGTGCTTGGTTTATGAGCGCAAGCCATTTCGCTGCAGGCTCGTTGTCCTCGATCACCAGAACGTTTCCTGCGCTTAAAGGAACTATTTCCTGAAATCTTGAATTATTATACACCAAAACACAAAACAAAAATTTTAGTACGCGTGACGTATAATTTTCTTTATTTGTATTACTAAAAACGTTGAAGTGGAAAAATGTTGTGAGTTAATCATCATAAATACCCCAAAACATATATATCTGAAGAGCCCTCAACCTGCAAGAAATCCTCAAGGTTAAGCTCAGGATGGGGAGCTTTTCCACCCACATTCCATGTTCCAACAAATATCCTGCAATCCCAAATCACATTGTTGTTAACCTAAGATAACATGGACGTAATAAAAACGGAATAAAAACGACAGTTCATATATATACCGGAAATCTTGAATTACAGTTGTTGCTGGTGCCATTGACTGCTCAAAGTTTGACAGGTTCAGCCCTTCGATCCCCACACTGCGGTGTCTTTCTGAGACTAGATTAGCAAATTAATACACCATGGTTTTGTTTTTCCATATCAAATTCTGATAATATTCATCTTTTCAATGACAAAGCCCCAGAGGGTCAATATCTATCAACAATAGAAAATTTTCTGTATTTTACATCCAATTTATGTTTACATGATGGAAACAATCAAATCACACTAAGTCTTTTGTTAGGTAAGCTACCAAATATCATACAAACCAAGCAGATAATGAAGATTTTAGTCTTTCAGTTTAATGGGTGCGTGGCTTGCACCCATTACACAAAGATTCAATTAGAAAACTGGCCCACCAATAAATATTTTATCTATATTATGTTGTGGTTTGGCAACAAAAAAAGGCAAATTACAAACACCTCCTCGAGGTTTGGTAAAAATACAGAATCATCTATAAGGTTTGAAAATTACATCCCGCCCCCTGAGGTTTATATTTTCATAACAAATTGTCCCCTGAGGTTTTTATTTTCATACAGATTCCCCCCTAATTTCTCTTAATTTGTTATGAAAATTTGACCCTCAGGGGATAATTTGTAATTTCTCAAACCTTAGGAAGGAATCTGTATTTTCACCAAATCTCGAGGGGGTGTTTGTAATTTGCCCAAAAATTTTAGTTGGCTTTTTAGAGTTGAGATTTTTTTTAGTTGGGATTAAAAAGTTTGTTTGGGTTGATTATTTTAGTTTTTTTTTTAAAACTTTTATTAGAGAAAAAGTGAAACGATTATGATTTAAATGTGACATTTCGTTTTATTAACTTTTTAACTTTATTTTATCTTTTAGTAACTAATTTAGCCCCAACCCAACCTAATTCACATAGCCAAACCAAGCCTACATATATATATATATATATATGTAAATTTGTTATGAAAATTTGACCCTCAGGGGATAATTTGTAATTTCTCAAACCTTAGGGAGGAATCTGTATTTTCACCAAATCTCGAGGGGGGTGTTTGTAATTTGCCCAAAAATTTTAGTTGGCTTTTTAGAGTTGAGATTTTTTTTAGTTGGCATTAAAAAGTTTGTTTGGGTTGATTATTTTAGTTTTTTTTTTTAAACCTTTTATTAGAGAAAAAGTGAAATGATTATGATTTAAATGTGACATTTCGTTTTATTAACTTTTTAACTTTATTTTATCTTTTAATAACTAATTTAGTCTCAACCCAACCTAATTCACATAGCCAAACCAAGCCTACATATATATATATATATATATGTATATTTATATTATATACTTAGGGTTTGTTTGTGATATTCTAAATAAGTGTACTTTTTAACTTTTTATAAAAAAATGTGTAGAAAAGTAGAGAGGAGATGTTAATTGATGTGACCCAAAAAAGATAAAAAAATATGGACTTATTTAGTCTTCTCAAAACATGGCCTAACCATACATATATATAATATATATATATTTGAATTATATACTACACTTACCATACTATAAATCAAAGCTCATGTGGTGTCTTGAGCCCTTTACTTTTCCGTAGGTCAAATATTCTTCATTATTTTTTGAAAATTCACTCACAATTTGATAATTGAAGTGGTTTTTCTTCGGCCCAAAATCGAAATGGAGTGTACTCTTGGGCCTCCATGGGCTCATCCCGGAGCTCATATTAATGATTCGAATCGTTTAATGTGTAATACTCGTCAATCACTTTATCTCTACAAAAAATCATATTAATCAGATATTGATAAACATTTAATCAAATGAATTTTGTGTCAACGGTAGGTACGATTTTAAAAATAAATTATTGACACAAATATGATATGATCAAATGGATATTAATATCTGATCACCCTGATTTTTTACAGGGATAAAGTATTCAATGAGCCTACACATTGAACGATTTGAATTATCAAGACAGACCCAAAATAGGTGGACCGTTCAATTGGAATACTCAACTGAGACACTCCAGACTCTTTCATAATCACTTTGAAGTTAATTCAATAAATAATAATTATTAGGGTCCTTGCATTTTATCTCTTATATCATTTTAGTCCACATAATTTTAATTAGCTTAATTTTGATAAATTTTATATCAATTTAGTCTAATTGATAATACTGATTAAGGTTTTTAAAGAAAAATTATCACTAAGTTGGTTGAGGTTAACTCACTGAATTGAATAGGTTTATAATTTTGTATATAAAAGCATAACATATGCCACTTATGTACACATTTTTCATCAAAAAACACTAATAATTGTAATCAATTAAACCAAATTAAGACAAAATTATAAATTCAAAGTCAAGTTTGAATGAATTGAAATTATAGGAACCAAAATGGCAGAAAGAAAAACATATAGGGACTACATATAATACTGTTTATTTATACAAAATCAATAATTTTAGGGGCAAAAATAATTATATTAAGTTTTTTCACTAATTGTTAATAATTGTTGCTTGAATTTTTAATTTTTATTTATACGCAAATATATATATTACTCTTTTCCTAAATAATATAATTAGGGAGTTGACTCATTAGGAGTAGAAGATAATATATAAAATGTGATGATAGTGATATTATGCACATGGACAATGACAAAAAAATGTTAATTGCGGATACCAAACACAAATTACACAATCCAATTGAGGAACCCTACCTGATAAACTTTTTCTAATGGTAGGATATGCTTCGAGGAATGCTTTCCTTCTTGATGCAATTTTATTATCCAAATCTGTTCCCCCAACAGCCAAACAAAAAATTACATCACAATGAAACTTAGGTTTCATTTGAGATTATTTTAATTGGCTATTCTAATTTTTAACTATTTTAATAGATTAAAATATTTGTATTTAGAAAGATGATTAAATTTTTTTATAATTGAATATAATGTTTGTGAGAAAAAATAAAATAATTATGAATCTGATATAACATTTTATTTTGTTAATTATTTTAATTTATTTTATCATTTAGTGTTATTTTAATTCAAAAAAATCTCTTCCTAAACACTCCTAATTATGGCATTTAAATGCATTAAAAACTTCCAGAGAGAGAATGTCAGTGTTTAATATGTACATTGAATTTTATTAATAAAGCTTTCTTTTCGCTAATTCAAAAAAAAAAAAAAAAAAAAAAGGGGAGAGAGGAACCATGGACAGCTTCATCTGATTGCGATACATCATCATCTGAGCTTTCTCTCCCATTTCCCTTGGACCCAAAAATCTTCGGAATGACAGACTATAATCCCAAAAATATATCAATAACTCAACATATTTGTTGATTTACATTAACGGGAAGAAATAATTAAATAATAAATCGGCTTGATTAAAAAAAATAAAAAATTAAACGATGATAAACGATACCTTTTTTTTCTTTTCATTCTTGACAGAATTATCCGGAGTAGTTGGTGGTGTGATGATGATAGCCGCTTTAGTCATATCGGCTTTATCATCTGATTTCGAACCCCATATCGAAGAAGACATTCATTCATTCATTCATTTATGATGCAAACTTGCCAAAGAAACATTACACCATTGGAATTACATACAAACATGTATTATTCAATTCAATCAATCTTGAAATATGGATCACACCCTGTTGGGGGGTTGCCCTACTCAAATTTGCACTTTTGTGACCTGCAAGAAACATGAAAGAAGAACAAAGAAAGTCTAGATTTGATGATCTTTTCATGCGATGGGATGTATTTTCTTTAACTTTTTTTCCCCTCAATAACCCTTTTTCATTTAACCCTTTTTTATTTTTATTTTTTTATTTCTGCTTTTTTTTTTCTTCTCTAATTTCGTGTTATGTTGAAGGAGACTAGGATTTGTAGCCACATCTTTCGGAGAGTACACATTAAGGTTGAAACCGTTAGTGAATAGTTCAGCTTGGACTGTCCTTAATAACCCATAAAAATTATTTTATTTATTGCTCAAATCTTAAAATGTATTTCTTACATTTGAAATAATCACTTTTTATCTTTTTATGAAAAGATGTAAAATATAATAAAAAAATAATGTGACTTAAATAAAAATTGATGTGATTCATATAAAATAAAAAAAATAAATATTTGTTATTCTAGCACATCCTAAATAAGGCCTTAGTAAATACACTATTAGTTTAGTGGAGAAATCTATGACGTGCACACCAAAAAAGTACAACGTAAGAAATTCTGATTTTTTTATGATGAAATTTATGAATGTTTGTTATGTATTGACATTTGATGGTAAAGTTACGAATATTAAACTTATAATGTGTATCTTGATGCTCAGCCTTAACGGGCTCGACCTGGATTGAGCATGCCAAAGTAACGCGTGTGGTTTCCGCCCACAGTGATTCCTTGAGCAGGTTGGGCTCAGTCAGCCGTTGGGCCCATGTTGATGTGGCTGAGTGTGTTCGGCCCACGTCTTCACCCTAGGTGTATTTGACCCATTCTACTAGACTAGTTGGGTTCAGCCTATGTCTATGACCCTAAGCTGGTTTGGACCCAAAAGGGAAGCTCCGCCCAGTCTTGGCCTTGCTGTGGTGGTTATATTGACCCCGACACCTCTACCTACAATTAGGTGTCTTGAGGTTCCCGAGAATTTTTTGGCAGGTAGGTGACATGGAGCAAGGATCTTCTAGAGTTTTTTTTTCTTAAAATTTTCTAGAGTGGTGCATTGTGTGATTGAGATTTAATGACAAGTTACATTAATTTTTTAGCATTAAATCTCAACCACACAATATACCACTTTAGGAAATTTTAAGAAAAAAACACTCTAGAGGATCCTTGGTGGGTGACATGTGGTACCTTTCTCTTCTTTCATTGGTTGAGAAAATTAGGACTATATTTATGCGTTGGGTGATGGGAGACAACATGAGAAGCCATGATATTTGTAATTGGTTGAAGGCACAGTGTGGCATGCCACATGATACCCCGTCTGCACCCAAGAATTTTTCGAGGTTCCCATTCATCTAATCTGAATATGAAACTGAAACTATTGGAATAAATGAGGTTGATTTATTACTGTATATTAAAAATTCGAAGGCCTTCTCCTCAGGAGGAGAGGTTATTGAAATGATCAAATCTACAATTTCGTGACTTTTAATTCCTCAACTTATATTGCATTATCAGTAGTAGAGATAATTGAAATGAACAATAACAAGCTTCGTTTTTAAAAAACCACAATTAATGAAACACAGATACAATACCATCATCAAGTAGCTGTCACCATTCAGACTAAATGTTTTGTGAAAAAAAAACAACAACAACAACAATTATCCTAATCATCGGTTTCCTGATATTTCTGGAGCAGCTGGGTGCATCCTGACATGGGCTCATTCCTGAAGAATCCAATGGCATTTGCAAAGCGGGTGTCTGAATTGATACCGTTGTAGCGGGTGAGGATAACACGAGAGCGGTCACGCCCGGGGTCTGCTTCAGCACAATCAGACTCTGGGCTGCTAACAAGCACTGAATCACAAAGATCGTCCCCACGGTCACCGGTGACCATGATATTATATGTTCCGGTTGAGTCAGTCACCCCCTCAATGCTGTATTTAAGCTGCAAAGTTTCCCTGTCCTTGCACTCAATTCTTACCCTGGCACCTAGGAAGCACAATACCATATGGTCAATCAATATATCTTTGAATAACCAATAACTCTAAAGTACACAAAGGAACGTTTGAAGGAAAATTTAAACGGTTTTTTAAGGTACGAATGGTGGGCAAAGTCCCTCAACACAAAGCACACATAGCAATTCATTGGGAAGAAGGCAAAATACAGGGCGATTTTTCTTACTGTACAAATGCTTTTCTTAGACAAAACACCCCCTTTGTAATAAATAAATAAGTAAACAAGACAAAGCACCCCCTCTCAAAAATTCATCTGCAAAAATTTGGATTTTTTTTTTTTTCGTGTCTGCCTCTATCATGATGGACCAACAAATAGTATTTTCATCTTCCATTTTTAAGAAATATAAAAGAAATAACACTGCACAATTGGATTAGGATAGGCACATTATAATAGTAAAACAAAAATATGGAAAAGATTATTAGGAAGGTGCTACATGACTCCAAACAGAGCCTACCTAGAACAGGATAATATGATATAGAAGCCTTTAATTATGCTCCCAATCTCGGCGTAATCTTATTTTCCAGAAATCAGATGAAATTAGGTCCTTGACCCGAGGTAACAATATCAGTCCTCCAATACACTACTATACACTACTTCCTCCCTAATTCTGTCCTGAACCCAAACCCAAAAAAAGTAGTTGAGCCTCAAATTTAACAAAAAACAATGGCGTGAAATGAATGACAAATAACCGAAGGATAACATTTGTTGACACATAACATATGTCAGTTATTGTTGGTTGGGGGTGTACCAGGGATGCCAGGGGTGGCGTCAGTCTCAAAACCAGCACGGCAAGTGTCACAGTAGACGCGGCCTCGGACTAGAAGTGGGTTCCCAAAGTAGCGAGCGCTGACAAGCGCTGGGATCACACAAATGGACAACAACAACAACACTATCAATCTATCCATTGTTTGGGTAAATAAATTATTCTTCTTTCTTTTTTAAGACTGAGATTGGAGTGAGAGAGACAAAGGATAAGTAACTATGTATAGGAGAGAAATGAACTCATTAATGGCACGAGAGAGTCCTACAGAGAAGATGATGGTGGGTGGGTAGGGTGGCCCGGCCTCACATAATAGCAGTGATCAAATGCTATCATCATTAGGACCATTGGCATAATGATTCTATAGCACAAATTTGTTTGTCGTGTGAGGTTTTGAATTCAAATTTTACATTATGTTTGGATAGGATAATTTGTTAGGAAATGACAAAAAAAAAAATGAGTAGTAAAACTCTTCTTTTAATGTTTGGTTCATAATAAGTTGGGTAAGAAAAAGTGGAAGGATGCAAAATGGTTAGAAAGTGAACTCCGTTATTAAGCCAATTTGATTTCTCACAAAAATTCTAAAATTTGATGAAAAATAAATTGATTTGTTATAAAATATTATAATACCAATGTTGTCCCTTCAAATACAAAGAAATGAAAATAAATTTCATTTATGTGCCTTTCTCACGTGATTTGCTTTATTATTCATCCAAGCATGATAGTGAAAAAATAAAATGTCTTAATAGGTCTTAATAGTTAGACTTAATTCCTATCAAGTCTTATTGAGAATAAGTTTTAGTAAAATCTTTGTTAAAAATAATTTTTTGTAATGATTTTTTAGTATATGTTTTTAAAAATTGACAATTAGTGACTGTAACGCCTCTAAAATAAAATAAAAATAATCCATTACATAAGATTTATAAACATAATAAAATAATATACTTCATTCATCAGAGTTTCTATTACAAAAAGATATTACATGTGTTATACATTTACAAACATTCATTTTGAATTTACAGCATGTAATATAAGTTGATAACAACAAAATAAATGCCCTACGAGTTTACATCTTTCCAATATATCACTTGGTTACAACAAAGACAGAGTCCTAAACTCTATACATGTACAGCCCTCGGCTTGAATGAGCATTTAAACATAACATAACAAAAATAGAAGCTTCAGCCCTAGTCCTTCCAAGCTATGTTCTTGGAGGTGGCACGTCACCAGTACCTGAAAATAATTTCCCAAGTAAGATGAGCCAAAGCGCAGTAGAGATAAATTAAAACAATATATGAAGTTTAACTAAGATATAAGTGTTAGATAAAAATTCAATATTCATAACCAACTTATATTCTTCCCATGATCATTCAATGTAGATAACCATACCTCAATCCATTGCAACTCATCCATTTCAAGTTAATCAATTAACCAAATTCATTATTATCTAATTAACCAAAATGAGACTACAACTCAATAGTTCACAATTCAATTCATTCATCACTCCAACATTTCTATTTTTCCATTTTACGGAATTCCCATCTGAGGGAATTGGCATCCATATATGTACACAAGATTTCGGGACTTTCACCCTGGACACTCTGGCCAACTTAATTTTAAATGGAGTCGATCCCCTATCTCCTCCCAAAAAATAGGGTACATCTCATTTCTCCTCCCAAACAATTATACATATACAATGTATTAACACAACGTCATATACAATGACTATGCACAACACATATTTAATGTTTCAATCATACCGTCATATGTAATGACATAATTTAAATGATAGGTTTCAATTCACCTAGTCCTTATGCAATTTCTACAACAATCATAGCTATCCTCCACCGATAGCCCAAAACAGATATTTCTAGACAGATAGAAAATCTTTATGACAGATAATTAGTCAAATTTCCATAGGTGAGTGATTTAACAAACCCAACTACACCATTCATTCATACATCCTCCCAATTTCACATTTGCCATATTAATTTCATCATTATACAAAATAATTATTTAACTCATTTTAGGGCAAATTCCTCATTTTCCTCAAATTCAACCTAATGGCTAGATTCCATCATTTTAGCACTAGAGAAACTCCATACACAAGGCCCCATAGTCATTTTTATAGATCAACATGGAAAACCCCTCTTTTAAATTTTGAACCCAAACCCTAGTTTACTCAAAATCACTCTCAAATCCCAACGTCTATACACAACAACACATATCCAGGTTAAAAGCCATATTAAGGTATAGAATATCCCTATCTCAAGTATAGAAGCCCAAAGGACAAATGGAAGAAACTTTGAAGATGACCAAACTCCACCTTTTTCGGATCAAATGGAAACCCACGAGATGCTCTACCTTTTTCTCAAAGGGAGTAGAGTAGAGACCCTTAGATTCTAGGGGATTTGTAGAGAGAAGTTGGGTTTTAGAGAGAAAATGGGCCATTTTAGGGTTTTTGTGAGAAAAGAGATAAAAAAGTACTGTAAAAATGCTCTGCTACGAACTGATATACACGAGGCTCGCTTGAGCGAAGGAGTTGTCGCTCGAGCAACCAGACACAACAAATGACCTCGCTCGAGCGTAGAAAGCGTCGCTCGAGCGCAGAATGCAAAGCTTCAGAAGTTTTACAGACGCACACGCTCGCTCGAGCACAAGAAGCCTCGCTTGAGCAAAGGACTTCACTTACCCAGAAATTCTGCGTCTGGAAAAGAAAATTGAGAACTCTCAAATCTCGCTCGAGCGAAGAAGCCAAAATCTGGACAACAACAATCTAGACCAACTAACAACCAACCTGTCCCAAACACGCCCAACATAACCTCCCCCTCATAAAGAATTTCGTCCCTGAAATTTTAAATCATGTTCCAAAACCATATTTCACAAATTTCCAAAATGGCTAAAATTCAATTCTCATTACGATGACCCACATACCAGTCATTCCATCCATTCACAAGAGAAAAATTTCACAATATATATAATTCAACATAATTCATCAATATGCATCTTCCGAAATCCAACCACTTTCAAGATGTACATCTCATATTTCCAAAACATATTCAATGTTTATGATAAGTTTGCATTTTCAAAACTTAAACAACATATATAGAGTTCAAATCAACTTGCACTTCCGAAATGTATTTAACATATACAATGCTTTCATAATTCAAAACATATACAATGTTTTCATAGTTTATAAACAAAACTAAAATCTCAACATATACTCAAATATCAACAAATAAGTTCGGATATTTCTCACGGACTTCCAATTCATGCTCCCAAGTTGCTTCCTCAACCCCGTGATATTTCCACAATACTTTGACCAAGGGAATTGTCTTGCCTCGCAAGACTTGGTCCCGCCTATCCAAGACTCTCACCGGTCTCTCCTTATAGGAGGCATCCTCATCTACCTTTAAATCATTCCAATCTAACACATGCGATGGATCTGGCTCATACTTCCGAAGCATACTAATATGAAATACGTCATGCACTTCGAAAAGTTGTGGCGGTAACGCCAAACGATATGCAACCTCCCCAATCTGCTCAAGGATCTCAAAATGGCCAATAAACTAAGGGGATAACTTCTCACTCTTCTTCCAAATCTCATAAGACCTCGTTTAGGTGATATCTTCAAAAAGACGTGATCACCTACCTCAAAAGACAAAGGTCTCCTCCTACGATCGGCATAACTCTTTTGGCGACTCTGAGCTGTAACCAACCTCTTACGGATAAGTACAACTTTCTTCATCATTTTCCGAACCAACTCTGGACCTAATAAAGGTGCATAACCCACCTCAGTCTAACACATTGGAGATCTACACGATCGTCCATACAAGGCCTCAAACGGTGCCATATCAATACTCAACTGGAAACTGTTATTATAGGCAAACTCCACTAAGGGGAGGTGCCTCTCCCACGACCCTTTGAAGTCAAGGACATAGCCTCGAAGCATATTCTCAAGGATATGAATAGTACACTCAGACTGCCTGTCACTCTAAGGATGGTAAGTCGTGCTAAAAGTCAGTCTAATGCCCAAGGCACTTTGTAAACTCTGCCATAGCCGAGCTGTGAAACGTGGATCTCTATCCGAAACAATTGACACAGAGACCCCATGCAATGTCACTGTGTCCCTAATATACAAGTCGGCGAGATAGTCCACCGAATCACTTAAGCTCATAGGAATAAAATGCGCCGACTTGGTTAACCAGTCAACTACTACCCAAATGGCATCACTACCCCGTTAAGTCCTCGGAAGGCCCATAACAAAATCCATCGTGACATTATCCCATTGCCACTCAACTAAAAGCAAGGGCTGTAACAAACCTGCTGGCCTCTGATGCTCAGCCTTCACTTGTTGACAAGTAAGGCACCTCGATACAAACACTGCCACATCTTTTTTCATACCCCTCTACCAAAACTGGCGACTCAAATCATGATACATCTTCGTGCCTCCTGGATACACCGTAAGGGGTGAATGGTGAAACTCTCGGAGTACTTCCTTTCGACAAGACTCCAGTATAAACAAGCGGTCACAGTATCTCACACTCAGGTCGGGATACACAATTAAACCCTTCTCTACCTTTCCACTGGAGATCTTCTCCGGGAGGGATTCTACTTCAAGATCACCCTTCTGTGACTCTAACACTCGGTTCACAAGTGTAGGTTGTGCATCTACAGAAAACAAGGTTGCAGATTCAACAGAATCGCCAAAATGCAAGTCAAACTCCCTAAGAGTACCCAACATCTCCTATTCCCAGATGGCAATACAAGCCACACTACTAACAAACTTCCTCCTCAGAGCATCGGCCACAACGTTGGCCTTTCCCAGATGGTAATGCAACTCAAAATCATAATCTTCTATGAATTCTATCCACTTTCTCTGCCTCAAATTCAAGTCTTTCTGTGTAAGCAGATATTTCAGACTCTTGTGATCAGAAAACACCTCAAATCTCTCACCATACAGATAGTGCCTCCAAATCTTTAAGTTAAAAATCACTGCTGCTAACTCTAAGTCGTGGGTAGGGTAATTACTCTCGTGGGTTTTCAACTGCCGTGAGCCATAGGCCACTACATTCCCCTCTTGCATCAACACAAAACCCAAACCCTCTCGTGAGGCATCATAATACACTGAATAACCCAAACCCCTCTCCGGAATAATCAAGACTGGAGCGGTGGTAAGTCTAACTTTAAACTCTTAGAACAACTTTTCATAAGTCTCACTCCATACAAATTTTACTCATTTCCTCGTCAATCTAGTCAAAGGCGA